TTTACCCGGAAGATGAAATCATTTTAAGACATTCACTTTAAGGTGAAAAATTAAACAAGATGTTACAGGGCCATGCATTTTTCATATAATTGCTAAATTGCAACCTTTTTTTAATTGTTAAATTTGTTTTAATTAGTTATACATGACAGTAGAATGCATTTATGCACTTTGTTATATCATACATAGTTGATATAAATTCTCATTTTTCTGAGTGTACATGTTGGAGAATCATATTGGTCATGTAGTCACATATATACATACAGTAATAATGTCTGTTTCATTCTACTATCTTCTAAATTGCAATCTTTATATAAACTTTTTAGAAAAATATATTTTTAGTTGTAGGTGGATACAATACCTTTATTTTGTTTATTTAGTTTTTTATGTTGTGCTAGGGATCAAACCTAGGGCCTCACACATACTAGGCAAGTGTTCTACTGCTGGGCTACAACCCAGCCCTTATATAAACTTTTGAAAGCAAATCTTGCATATGTACTTCTAAGTTTATATGTAAGTGTAGTTACTATAATTTTGAAGTGCTAAAGGAATCTAACCACTGTGATATGCTGTTTTTGAATTGTTATCACTATGTTGATTTGATTCAGGTCAATGGGCATTTGTTGCACACCTTCTAAGGTCTGTCCTTGAAGACATAGAAGAGAATAAGAAAGCACTTCCTGTGCATAGGTTGCCCAGAGCCAGTTGGAAATTCAGCATTTTGACTAGTGATTGCATTTTAGGATGATAACAGCTGAAAGAATGCAGCCAATTTTAGATGAGGAGTGAAATAACAGGAGTTTGCATATAAGCCTCTTCTAAGATATAATTTCAGTCTTTTTTTTTTGGAGGGGAGCACTCTACCACTGAGGAACATCCCCAGCCTTTTTTTTTATTTTGAGATGAGCTAAGTTGCTAAGTTGCCCAGGCTGTCCTTGAATTTGAATTCTTTCTGCTTAGCCTCCCAAGTAGTTAGTATTACAAGTGTGCACAACTGCCCCCTTGCTTCATATTCTTTTTTTTTTTTTTAACATTTTAGTTGTTGATGGATAAAATACCTTTATTATGTTTATTTATTTTCATGTGGTGCTGAGGATTGAACCCAGGGCCTCATACATGCTAGGCAAGCACTCTACCGTTAGGTCACAACCCTAGTCTCCTTCATATTCTTATTTATAAGCTCCATTTCTAAAGTTTATTTTCAATAAATGGCCAATATCCTATGTTGGGTTTTGTTGTTGTTGTTATTGTTGTTGTTGATCCCAGTAGTAATACAGAGAGTAAGGATGTGGTGGTGAAATGAGCAGGATAGGGGTGGAGGGGATATTCCTCTAGAAGGTTAAAAAAAAAAAAAGGTTCAGTGGGCATAATGGTGCATATCTGTAATCCCAGCGACTCTGGAGGTTGAGGCAGGAGGATTGCAAGTTCCAGGCCAATCTCAGTAATTTAGTGAGGCCTTAAGCAACTTAGTGAGACCCTGTTTCAAAAGATAAAAAGAGCTGAGGATGTAGCTCAGTGGTAAAGCATCTGTGGGTTCAGTCTTCAGTACAAGAGAAGAAGAAAGAAATTAAACAAATGAAAGAAAAAAAAAGATTCAATGCTGGAATCTAGTTTTAGTTAATTCTTTCAAGGCAGTAATTGCTGCCTAAGTATTGTATTGAAAACTCAAGCTTTAAATTTAATGTAGCTTGCATAAATTTCATATTATAGTATAGTTAGATGTTTAGACATTTTTAGATTATAATCAAAGGCCTATTAATAATGACCTTTTTCATTTTTTTATAACTTGCTTTTATATTGTGTGGTGTTATTATGTTACAGAATTTGCATTATGACCTAAAAGTTGTTTAGACAAGTTTTTCTAAATCTTTGTGTGGATTGTATATAACATATTTCTTTTGCAAAAAAATTGATAGTGAGACTCTATAGTGCTTACACTAGCTGATCTTTTTTTTTTAACTAGCTGATCTTAATCTGATTAGCATGTAATAAGGCTAAAGTCAAATAATTAACCCCATTGAACCTTACCTCCTTTATCAACTATTTGAGTCAATGTGCCAAGACAGAAATAGCAGTTTTATTGCTTTCATTTGTTTATAATAATTATGTAATATTCACTTTTTTACTATAGAATTAAGGGTGAGAAGGATATTCTCCACCTTTCTCCTTTATTCTTAATATATTGTAGCTTTATAATGTTTGTTCAGCTTCCCTCTAGACTATAAGCCCTATGAAGAGAAGGATATCTTTTTTTGCATATTATTCTTTCTCCAGCTCCCCACAGTGTGTAACACATTTTAGGAGTAGCCAGTTTTGTTGAACAAAAGTGTTAGAATTGGGTATTTTTTAAGTCATTTCACTAAATATTTATTGATTTGTTAATAGTAAAATTGGAGCTCACTTCCAAATTCTTTTTTTCTTCTGGCTCTTTTTTGCACAATATCATCAGTCAAAACAATAGAATTTGTGAGCCCAGCATCATGGTGCACATATGTAATCCCGGCAACTCAGGAGGCTAAGGCTAGAGAATTCATCCTGGACAGCCTGTCTCAAAATGAAAGGGTGTGGGGATGTAGCTCAGTGGTAAAGTGTCCTGGTTTCAATCCCCAGTACTAAAAAACAAACAAACAAACAAAAAAACCCAACCCATCCAGAGTTGTTTTTTTCCCCCAGAGCGGGCATCAAGGGGCTAGGACTGAAGCTCAGTGGTGGAGCGCTTGCCTTGCACTGGGTTTGATCCTCAGCACTGGGTTTGATCCTCAGCACCACATATAAATAAATAAAATAAAGGTTAAAAAGAAAAAAAACAACACTATTTTTAAAAAATGCTATTTATCT